ACCCTAGGCTGAAGAAGCCAGAGAGCTCACAGAAAATGACTGAAGCATAAGGAGTCACAGTAGGTAGGATGTTGTCCCCCACACATAACACTGTACCTAACATTGTGCTTTCGCTGAAACAAGTGACACAAGTGACAAGATGTCTTCACTGTTGCCAACCTTGTGAACATTTCTTTTTAACATCTCCTTAGCCAACTTTAACGATTCCTCCCTTGGAGTAGACAGTGGTGGGCTGGCAGAGATCTCGTGCTCCTTGTGTTAGAAGGTTCCTTTATACAATGCTAACCTCTGAGTGTCTTAATGACTTGTGAAAGCACTGAGAAGGATGGAGAGGACAGGAGTTTACAGGAAGGCACCCTTCGTGGGTTGGGAAGTGCACTCCCCGGAGCCATGGGGCTGTTTAGTGAAAATGCGGTGCCCAGGGTGGACTACTTCCCTTTCAGCTGTTGGCCAGATATGCCCCTGAGGACACCCAAACTATAAAATTATTGCCATTATTATCAGTTGCAAGGCAGAACTAAATGTTAACTCCTCACTGCAGAAGACACGGCATGCTCTAGTTGCAGAACAGGAAGGGTTCAGGTTGGACTCTGCTGGTAGCTGTCCTCTAGCAGACTGAACTTTGTAATGCTGGAGGGCACCACATAGGCTTCTGGGGAAGAACTGGCACCAATAGCCCTACCAACATGCCAGGCAGGATGTGCCCGCTAAGTGGGACCGTGGCACAACTATTGTAGTTTAACCAACAACTCTTGGATTCGAGTTAAAATCTGAACTCCAATGAAGTAACCCATGACTGATATCAGGGCAGATCACAGTGTTAATGGAAATGTTGGGGAGTCCCACCTGAGCTACCATATGCTATCAGGGAAATTAGGGTCCCCTCTTACGATTCTTAGCATCATTAATAAAAGAACTGACTCAGAAAGAAGCCCGAAGACAATTTTATTAGATTCGTTAAAAAGCCCACAGGGAAGCTGTAAATCCACAGTTGTCCATGGGAAAGAGATGAAGAAAAGGAATAGAAAAGGCCATGTCATTGGAGTTAAGCCAGGATGGTGGTCAACCACACAGGGAGTAGAAAGGATTCAGAGAAAGTATAAAAGCCAGAGAAAGCATCCTTGGGCTCTGGCTAGGGTGTGAAAGAGGCAGAAATGAAAGAAAGGGGAAGTTAAGCTCTTCTGAGTGACTCATGAAAGCAGGCAGGTTAACTCAGCTGCAGACTGCAGCTCCATTAACAACTACACCGTGGACAGGGTTTCTGGGAAAGGAAGAGGCTCTTCTTTAGCGTGACTTAAAGTTAATTAGTCTTTGTGAAGGCCCGCTTTTGCCCAGGTGACTAACCTACCCAACTGGATTAACTCTTTAGGGAGGAGACACGGCAAGTCTCTCTGAAGTAGAGTCATTCTTTGGAAATGGCTTTCCCTTAATGTCCCTCCAATACTACTGCAACAATAAGCCAGCGGGGAAGTGGTTAATAACTCTCTTGTTTGATGGATAGGCTATTCTTGTCAAATTGCTTTCCAGACATTTGCTCTTGTCATCCTCAGCTGGTCATGACAAGGAAACTTTTCTGCAAAAGAAAATATACTACAAAGACTCATAACTGCTCAAGTTCCTAAGAATAAGTGACTACTACTCTGATGTAGTGGCCCAGTACTCAGCCATGAATGGAATAATCAGGCATCTATATCAGTATCTCCTAAGCTCAGAGAACATCCAGAAAAATGGCATAAAGTATATAAGAGCCAGAGTAAAGGATAGTGTTGTATAGGGGTTTCCTCTGAACTGAAACATTCCCTACCAAAGGGAGGAGAGAAACTCATACAGCTTACAAGGTCCAGGGAGTTCCTGAAATTTACATGACTCACAAGGTCCTTCTCCAAAGCTATAAAAGCACTAATAAGACTTTCCAACCACTCAGCCTACTTGTGAGCTGTGTAGGGAGTACCAGGGATATAAGTGTTGTGAGTCATCACTTATTCTGAGATGGGTTTTTTGGTGGGGCAGCTACCTTTGAGTCACCCATATTCCTGCAAATAACTCCTCACCCACACTTCTGTAGTTAACCATAATGAACTTACTATTCCATTAAGCTAGACTTGGGTGAAATATTTTTTTAGTCTATTGTTGGTGCACTATCTGAGGTGAGTAAAAATTTGTTCATATCTCCTCAGGAAAAGTCACACAACAAGAAGCCTCAGTTTCCCTTCCTCATGACTTATCTGCAGAGATCCCTCTGTATCCTCACAGGGTGTCTAGCTTTCTATTGAGCAAGAGATCTAAGAGAATACAGAAGCTACAGGCACCCTTTATTATTGGCTCTCATATATTACACTATCTTTTCTACCGTGTTCTAGTCCATCATGTAGGATCATCTAATTACATATGGGTAGAGATCATCAAAGTTGTGATACAAAAGAGTCATCTTAGAACTGGTTATTGTTTAAAAGTTAAAAATAACTTGAAAGATAAGTGAAGATTCACTAAATACCAATATTCACAAGAGTAAGTTTTTAGGTTGGGCATGATGTCATAGACCTTTAATTTCAGCACTCTGAAGCAGAGGTATCCAGATCTCTATGAGGCCAAGGATAGTTTGAGGTCTACATGCTAATTTCTAAACAAGACAGGTCTACAGAGTGAGACTGTCTCAAAAAGGGAGAGAGAGATGGATTAGTATTATTATTTATCTAAATAGAAAACTTGCCTGACATTTTTTTCATTTTTAAATAATTTTTATTTAAATTAAAAACAATCTTATTTTACATACCAATCACAGTTCCCTCTCCCTCCTGTCCTTCCATTCCCTCCACCATTCCTCAGAGAGGGTGAGGACTCCCATGGGGGAATCATCAAAGTCTGTCACATCTTTTGAGGCCCTCCTACCTTGCCTGACGTTTTTAATATATGACTCAGTTGTAAAAAAAAAAAATCAACCTACTTCCAACTAACCTACTAAACATCAATTGCTTGAATAAAGCACATTTATAACTGACCATGAGAAAAATCTTTTCATGCATCTTTTTCCTTCATACATCTAACAATAAAAGCATATTCAAAAATGTTTGGAGAATCCTTCTTTATGAAAATATCATAATGTACGTACACAAGCTAAGACAGCCAGAGCATCTTATATGCCATAACCCTAAGGGAAAACCATCATGTATGTGATCTGTTCCTAACTGGAATGTCATCATGTGGTCACATATCCTTCCTCTGACTGCCTTCAAGTCTTAGAGCACATTTGTCTTCAGGTTTCAATGTTCTGAAAGTTTCCTTGTGCAGCTGAATCCAGAAGTCTGTAGAGGCAAAGTGTTACAGACTACAGAACAAGGATTCTACGTGTTTACTCTTTTACATTAGGCAAGACTGACGTTCACTTTTGGGGAGGAAGCCACCTTTTGGAGGTCTTGGACTCTAATACTGTACACTAATACTGCTAAAGCATCATGCATAGGTTGTAATCTTCCCAGCTTCATGTGGCCAATTTAAAGCTAAGACCTGTTGATTTCACCTAATAGCTACTACAGGTGTGGAGTGTCTGTGTTGTGCAAAGTGCCTTTATTTATGGGGGTGCCATTCTTTTTTTTTTTTTTTTTTTTTTTTTTGCTTTTTCGAGACAGGGTTTCTCTGTGCTGCTTTGGAAGCTGTCCTGGAACTCACTCTGTAGACCAGGCTGGCCTCGAACTCACAGAGATCCACCTGCCTCTGCCTCCCGAGTGCTGGGATTAAAGGCATGCGCCACCAACGCCCGGTGGGGGTGCCATTCTTTTTGGCATAGACATCCTTCCTTCGGATCTTAGCATTATCATGCCCCTGTCTCTTCAACTATCCCACCCATACCCCATTTCCCCTCACATCTAGCATTACTTGGTAGAGTCCAACATCACCGTTTCATTTTCCTGCTTTTCTCCCTTCCCTCAAGTGCAAGATGTCAAAGAACTCTATCTCACACTTAGCTACCTACTTCCAAGGCAAAAGGCCTCTTCAAACACTATAACTCTGCTATTCTCTTAGCTCCCTAGAAATTTAACATCCCTGTATGACGGGGAAAGTCCTTCTGTGTATATATTGTCCTATTAGTTGATAAATAAAGCACTGTTGGCCAATAGGGAAGCAAGATAGGTGGGACTAGGAATCAAGGAGGATTCTGGGAAATGCAGTCAAGAGTGGAGAATTACCATGTGATCCCCGGAGGAAAGGACGCATTAGGAGGGAATTCTCAGAAAGATAAGTCCTTATAAAAATACATATTAGTAATTATGGGTTAATAATTAAGAGCTAGCCATTAAGAAACCATAGAAAACGGCCAACAGATTTATATAGCATCCTGGGTGTTCATTTGGGACTAACGCAGCTCTGGGACCAGGCTGGTGGGAAGAATGCACATTACACCTGTAAGAGTTACTTCACTTTTAGTTACACAACCTACAAATTCACTTCCAAGACTATACGTGTACCAGTAGAAGAGATTTACCAAAAGCTGACTGAGGATAATATAGCAGAAACACAGTATACTTGGCCATTCCAGAAACCATCCCTGAAAGTATCAGGCATAAACAAGTCTATCCACCTGGTTTTAGAAGAAAAATAAAGTATTTTTTGAGACAGAATTTCATGCAGCCAAAGATGGCCTCAAACTCCCTATATAGCTGAAGATGTCCTTGGATTCATGATATTCATGCCTTCACCTTACAAATGCTGGGATTACAAATATATGTCACCAAGCCTGTATTTATAATGTTTAGCATTACTCTGATATATGTTTAGGTATGGAATAAACATGATATTACTGAAGGAATGATGTCATTTCTTCCATCTTTTTATCTTATTTATTTTTTAAAATACTTTTATGCATGTATTTTTAAGATCCTGTACATGTCTGGTGCCCACGAATGTTAGAAGATTGGAAGCCACTATGTAGTTACTGAAAATTTAACCCAAATCATCTGAGGGAATAGCAGTTCTCTCATCTACTAAGACATCGATAAACCAACCTGCCTCCATCTTTGAAAACAGCAGCCATGCCTTCGTTTCAAAATGTTGCTATGACCATCTTGCAACCCTACCTTTGTTTCAAAAGGTTATTTTAGCCTTCTGTTGCTATGGCTACCTTGTGATGTTCTGCTTCTATAGCCCCACCTATTTGCCAAATCCTCTATTTGGAAACCCCTACCCCTGAGATATAAAAGCCCTTATCTTGCCTTGGGGGAGACATCCCACATACATGAATAAAAGAAGCTTGCTGTAATTGATTTGAACATGATGATTTGGGCTGGAAGGTTTTCTCCTTGAATCTTTGGGATTAACACCATCTCTCCAACCCCTTATTTATTTTGTAAAGATTGGTTTTGTTTTTAATTGTGTTTATGTAGAGGAGGATAGGTATGTTCATGCATGAGTGCAGATGCCAAGGTATCAGATACCCTGGAGTTGGAGTTACGGGTGGTTATGAGCTGTCATGTGTGGGTGCTAGGAACTAAACTACAATCCTCTAGAAGAGCAGATTGTAATCTTAACCACTAGTGAAAGGGTTTTTCAGTGAAAGTATCTTGGCAATTGGGGCTAAGGAATCCCACAAAAGTCACACCATGCAACAGTCCTCACACAAGAGATTTATTGGGGGGGTGCAAAATGGCTGCCCTTGAGCGGACATGGAGACAGCAGTAGACAAGGTTGTGATGGCAGGCTTTATGGGGGAGGGGTATGGAGCATATGCATAGGGAAAATAGGGTAAGGCAGTGTCGGTGACAATGGTAGAAATGTGTCCCGCTGGCAGTTAGTTATGGCACCCTTTGGCACTAAGTCATTGGAGGTGGGGTGGGATGGAATGTGGTTCTGGAATGTAGGTGGCTCTTAGTTGACTAGCAACTAAACCATCTTTCACCCACCCACCCCCAATTTATTTTTTTATTGTGACACAGCCTTACCATGTAGCCCAGATCTGCTTTGAACTCTTGCTAATCCTCTTGCATCAGCCTCCTGAGTGCCGGGATTATAAATACACTACCACCCCTTGTTAAAATATTCCTTGCTAGAATAGTTTCTTTGAGTGTTTTGAACCTTCCTCTGATAACACAATCAAGACATATTCAAGGCATAGTCACAAAATCTTAGCCAAGAAACACAGAATGCCATACATATGGAGCCCACGCACATTTCAGTGTCATGTGTTGTTTTAAGGTTTCCACACGATGCAGTTGGGAGGGTTTAGAAAAAAAAAAGCACAACTATTACCATGCAGGGGTAGGAGGCTGTTGGCTGACTCAGACTTAGAAACCCTTGGTGAACAATGGCATCTCTGCTCACTTCATTACAAGACAATCTGTTTTCATGGAGTAAATGCAAGTTCTCCATCGTGATTGCACACCATGGACCAGCTATGGTGGCAGATGGGAGAGGGAAGCTGGATCCCTGATCCCACAGCTTGTAACAGTAATGAGCAAGAAGCAAAATGGAAGGGAAAGCCCCACAGGCCTTCTAATTCTGTCCTCGGCGTGAGAATAGACTAGGAGCCACTAGAGAGCAATGCAGGCTTCAAAAAACAAAAACAAATTCTGTTTGTGGGTTTGTTTGTTGAGACAGTCTCCTGTAGCCCAAATTTTAACTCAATACAAAGCTAAGAATAACTTTAAACTTCTGCCTCTACCTCCCAAATTCTGGAATTATAGGAATGTACCTATAATCCCTGGTTTTATTCAGTGCCAGAAATTGAACCCAGGGCTTCGTGTATGCTTAATAAGCACGCTACCTGTCGGGGCCCACATTGATGGCTCCACTTCATCTGGACATAAAGTCAGAGTTCAAACCCACTATCGCTCTCTCAAGGTTAAACAACAGGATACTTGGCCTAAGAAGTAACTTATGGATATCTTTAACAACAGGATATTTAGTCTAAGGTGTGGTTATTGTGTATTTTGCCTAGACAACAGGATACTTGGTTTAGGGTGTGGTTACTCAATGTTTTGGGTACTGAGAAAGCAAGTCCCCTTGCTTGCTCTTTGGATCTTGGTAGGGAAGTCTCTTTGCCTTCCCCCACTTTTGATTAGAGTATATAAAAACTGTGTGTAATAAACTTGGGGCTCTTTCCCCCCAGTGTTCACTGGAGTGCCCTTCCAATTCTATTCCTTGTCTCTTGCCTATTCCTTTCCTCAATCACGCTCCCCCTCTCAGGTACGGACCAGACAAGTCGGCTGGACCCGACAAAACCCCCCACGAACACGGGCTACAACACCTACCTGACTTATATCCACAAGGATTTCATGATCATGATAAGGACATCCCCACAAAGTGGAAGATTGCCATAAATAGCAAAGGGTTCCCAGAGGAAGCAGAGAAATTCTTCCCGATTGGTATCTTAAAATAGGCTGTGATTGCACCGGCAGCCAAAGCACTCAGGCAGTGGAGGAGGATCACGTGAACCAGGCATACAAGACCAGCTTGGGCAACACAGTGGGAGGCCATCTCTAAACACCAAAGCATTCAGGTTCCCCTTGCTCAGAGTTGTTAGAGCAATTGATTTGGTTCTGATAGCTGAGTCAGGATTTAGCATCCACAAGAGAGCTGCTATGCCTCCCACAGGACACCTACGTGTTTCTCTGGCTCCTGTACCCTGCTACGTGTCTGGCCGGCTACACACATGTGGATATCTCCCTTTTCTGGTGTGAGTTCCCCCTAGGAGCTGCCTGCTAACTCCCACAGCTTCCTTAAGTCCTTCTGGGCCTCTCAACTTTGCCCCTCCTGTCTCTCAGCTCCATCCTGAAAGTCCTGCAGTTTCTCTGCATCCTTATGGCTTCTTTGATATCGGAACCCTCCCTTAGACGGCGTTCTTGCTTGTGTCTCCTTGTCCCTTAACCATTCCTCTTTGTCTACGCTGTATGTGTCTCTTTAGTTCCTGGAGCCTGCTACACCGTTGGGGCACCACCACGCGGGCAGTTTTCCCCTGGCTACGGCCTGCTGCACCTGTGTGGGTCTCTCTGACTAGATGTGGGTTTACTTTCCCCAGCTCTCTCCTAGCTTTCTCTCACCTTCTGCTGAAGTCCACCCGGTAGTCCCATTACACTATCTCTCCATGCATCCTGCAGTCCCCCGGCTTCCGCCCTCAGCTGCCTTGTAGAGCTTGTAGAAACTCCCTCCATTTTGTGAACTTCTCTTCTCCTCAGACTCAGGCAGTTCATATAGTCGTCTCTACATGCAGTGATACTTTGTTTGTAATCTAACAAAGTTTGCCTGAAGGTCAGAATGCCGAGCTGGCCTAGAGAGATGGCTCAGACGTGAAGAGCACTGCTTAGTCCTCCAGAGGTCCTGAGTTCAATTCCCAGCAACCACAGGGTAACTGGCAACCACCTATAATGAGATCTGGTGCCCTCTTCTGGCATGCAGACATACATGCAGGCAGAACACTGTATAGAATAAATAAATCTCAAAAAAAAAAAAAGTTCAGAATGCAGAACTAAGCCACTAGTTAGCCACCTACACACTAAGCCACTAGTTAGACATAGAGGACAGGCAGTGGTGGCCACACCTTTTATCCCAGCACTCAGGAGACAGAGGCAGATGGATCCCTGTGAGTTCAAGGCCACCCTGACTATAGGAGAGTGACTCAGTCTAAAAGAGAAACAGAGCCCACACCTTTGAATCCAGCACTTAGCGTCACACACCTTTAATCCCAGCACTAGGGAAGTGGAGACAGGAGTGGTACAGCTGGGTGGAGAGAAGACTATGAGGCGGGAGGAGACAGAAGCTCATTGCAGCCTAGGAAGTCTGAGGAGCAGTGCAGTTTGGAGATGCAATCAGAGGACACAATCACCCCTTAGGTCTGAGAACTGGTAGAGGTGAGAACTCTCTAGTGGCCGGCTGCTTTGCTTCTCTGATCTTCAGCTTTAACCCCAATATCTGTCTCTGGGTTTTTATTATTTGCACTACATAACATTTTGCTTGGAAAGAGGAACAAATGGCCAGATATATGGTTACGTACTTGTTCATTGGCTGTAGCCACTGGTTCGACTGGACGGCCAGGGACTTGGAAGGAACATGATTACAAAAGTGGTGAGTAAGACATCTGTGGGGAAAATATATGGATAGCTCTCTCTAAATGGTTATATGAAAATGCTTGTGCCCTGTGTGAATGCTACATGTCTCTAGTCACGCAACAAACACAGCTCCTGAAGCTCCTGAAACTTCACTGGTGAGAGCAGCCACCAGATATGTCCCATCCTTTTGCTGTCTACCCAAATGACTAAGAAAAACTCAACCCTTAGCCAAATAATGACAAGATGCTGACAGGATGTAAGTCACCACTTTGCCGCCCTGGCCACATAAAGTCATCTGGGAAGGTCTTTCAAAATACTGGTGTCTGGCTTCCTTTCCGAGTGTGATTCATTTAGCCTGAACTAGGGCCAAGGCAGCAGCAATGCATAAACTCTACAGAGACCAACTTGTACCCAAGCTACAAGTAACTGATTTGTCTACATCCATAACTGAGAAATCCAATGAATGCACTTGTTGTTGGTTGTTTTTGCTCTTTAATCTTTGTTCTTTACTCTTTGGGGGCCTGTCATCCCTCTCCCAAATAAATCACACAGAGACTTAGTCATTTTTTAAAATATTTAATTTATTTATTATTAAGTATACAGTGTTCTACCTGCAAGCCAGAAGAGGGCACCAGATCTCATTACAGATGGTTGTGAGTCGCCATATGGTTGCTGGGATTTGAACTCAGGACCTATGGAAGAGCAGCCAGTGCTCTTAACCTCTGAGCCATCTCTCCAGCCCGACTTAGTCTTTTTTATGTTCACTTGGCCTTAGCTTGGCTTATTTATAGCCAGCTTTCTTTAAATTATTCCATCTACATTTTGCCTCTGTTCTTTTACCTTTCTTTATTTCTGTATGTATTTTCCTTCCTTCTTATTCTATGTCTGGCTAGGTGGCTGGGTGGCTGGCCCCTTCTTTTCTCATTCTTTGATCTCCTCTCCCAGATCTCTCCTCCTATTTATTCTCTCTGACTGGTAGCCCCGCCTAGCCTTCTCCTGCCTTGCTATTGGCCACTCAGCTCATTATTAGACCAATCAGGTCTTTTAGACAG